TCTCCAACTTCCAAGTTTTTGCCCGAAGCTGCCTGTGCTAGCATGATGCCATGGAAGCTGTAATTGGAGTGCAGTTAATACACAGGGCTGGGATTCCACCTACTGCCTTCTCACGTACAACCTTCACTCATGACGAGATCGAGTATGGCAGAAAGTCGCTACACTGCTGTTGTTTATGTTTTCTACTTTTTACATGTTTATTATTAATTGTGTAGACTTCGGTTAGAGAATTTGAAAACATAACGTCGGACATGACACTGGCAGTTTGTCTAACTGTCATGGCTAAAGTCATTAAATACTTGTAAAATGAATGTAATAGTTGTTGATGTTGCTGAAAGTGTACATCCTTTTAACGCACTGATAATGAAACGAGATATACTATATCTTCTTCAGTCCAATCTAAAGATTAAAATGTCAAGGTCTTTATGCTGTTCATATTTCAAGCTATGACATAAAAATGAATATGTATTTGGTCGTGAAAGTTAAATATTTATCACAAAGCAGAACTTTTCTTAAAACGTCTACAACTATTTGACCGAAGTTGATGTTATATATATTGTCATTATCTATTTCAATACTGAAAAACCTTATGCAGCTGGAATATTACTGAGTGCAGCTTTAAACAACACACAGAATACTGAAAAGAAAGCTTAAAACATAAAAGCTATTTTCTTGACAAATATCATGTATCTGTTCTGTTTGATTGGCATTTTAGAAGTTGATCAATGATAAGAAAGGTAAGACACTCTATGGATGGCAACTTCATCATTATATTATGTTGTGATGTTTCAGTATAGATTCTTCTAAAAAGAGAGCTTAAAACTTGAAGCCTATTTTCTTAACAACTATCATGTACTCGATAAAGCTCGTGCAGTTTGTACCTCTCAGAATCCAGTATAGATCCTCATTTCTACATGATTTTTCGGTATAGATTCTTATTTAAAGAGAGCTTAAAACATAAAAGCTATTTTCTTGACAACTATCATATCATATACTCGATGAATGTCGTGCAGTTAGTCCCTCTCAGAATCCCGTGTCAATCCTCCTCTCTACATGGGGAAGATGGCTCGGAGCATTCAGTCCTGCATTCTTGGCATGTTGCATATGCACAAAGCCAACCCTCAGCTATTCAGTGGTGTATACCACTTAAGTACAGCTGCATAGCACTGAACAGATGAGGAATTGGTCGCCCATGGAACTGAGATAATGTTTATGGGTATTCTGTAGAGATTTTTGGAATGACTGATCTAAAAGTAAATCATTCTGATTATAGGCGTATCTGAATTGAGTAGAAGTTGAGGAGGTTTTCTTCAAAACTGGCTTCTCACTCTTTAAAGGGTCTGTCACTTTTTCTAAACGCATTATGTAATATGATGGGTTTGATTCATGGGTGGACTGCGTAGCAGTAAGGTATATTGAGATTTTAAATTGGTTGGAGCGGTGAAATTGGTTCCAACTTTCACATGGTGAATGGTGTGATGTGTTGGACATTGTAATTATTGTGTTGTGTTGTCATTTTGTTCTTTGCTGCGAGAAGTTAAATAGCAAATGACAAAGAATGATTGATAATAGCGGGTGTATTTCTAACAAGGATGTGGAGATTTTATTATCTCTGTTCGAAATCCAACCAGACAGTTATGAGAGTGAGAAATTTTGGAGGTACCTCGAGGAAATCCGAGAACGCTATAAACAAAAGGTGGCAATCTTTTTGTCAGTGTAAGGAGCTCATCCAGGTGCAGACTTGTATTACTTATGACTTGAGGAGCACAAACTCCTCGCAACACATGGAGTTGCATTTCCATTTCCTGAGTGGAAGGACTTGGGTGATGGGTGCTTGCCTTTGTTCTTGCCATTTTGTTTTTACCAGCGGTGCCTTGATGACCTGATCAACATCAAGCCCGGCTGCTCACATGCCGTCAGCCCTAAACACAATGCGAGGAGTTCGTGTCAGGGCAGTGCATGTACAGAATTTACATTACATAAAACACAGGGAGAGGACACATGGCCGTTGGAAAATGTTTTTGAAATTATGATCAGCTTCCATAGTTTGTTTAACAAATTTTTTATTCAAACTTTGAAGTTTGTCTTTGATGTAAGTTTATCCAAAATGTTACATATACAAGCCTGTGTTACAGTGTTAAACAGATGTGATGTATTTAACGTTGTGAAGATTACATAATACCCGGACTCTTGAAATCTTTTCGACAAAACAAAGTGTTTTCTTTGACAAATGGTTAGAAGCTACAACACTGTGCGAGGTCCCAGTGCCCTGCCCACGTAGTAATCCATTTTGCTAAATATTTACGGCTCCTTTTGTCTTGTGTCAGTGGTATTGGGTAAATATTTTGGTATATTCCCAGCATGACTTATCTCCCCTTGCCATCGGGTAGAAATGTTTACTCGAAACACCTGTCACATGACCCGCGTCTGAGATTCTCCATGGATATGATGCAAAATGTATTGTTTTGTAATGTGTGAAAGTGAAATCTACCAAGGTACAATAGGTGAAGCGTTTGTTTGAAAGACAGTCTTCCAACAGTCGGCAAAGCAGGAATAATTCTGGATTCGATTAGAGATTGCCGACTCGAGAGAGTCAGGCGCCCTGGAGAAGGTGCAAGGGGCTTGTTCCAAATGTCACACCTTTATCCGGATGCCACAGTAACACAAATGGTCCATGTGTACAGTAAAAGTTCTAAAAATCTGATCACTGGCATTTCTGACCTCAAAATCTTTTGGATGAACATCAACTAATGTCTTTGATGTGAAGATTATGACAAACAGAATACTATATTTTTTCTTACAAATGTAGATCAATACAACGATCTTAAGGTTATATGTTTTCATAACAGGTTGATGGTTTCGAGTTGTTTTGATACACACACTTATCTTTCCTTGATTCTCAAAGTGATTCTCATGTTTCAAGTGTATATTAATTAGAATTGTCTGATTATCCCGATCAAAGTTGAGTAGGATGTTTTGAAGAAAACGTTGATAAATTCATCTTTTTAAACTGGTTGTAGGTGGTGTCATGGTGTAGGTTTTACTGTAGATTCTTCTTGTCTTTCTTTGTCGGAATACGATTACAGTATATTTGGTTAAGCCTAAGACAGCAGTGTATAGACTATTGTGTTTTCAATGTCTGGCGATGTTTGTTGGTATTGACAAGTTTTGTTTTGACTGACAAATGACAGATTGAGCATTACAGGATGGGATGAACTCCACAGAATGACGAAAACGGGTGAAAAAACCGAATGTTTTTATAGTCGTAGTGCTAAAAGAAACTATGTTATTCGTCTGGGGATGTGTCTGGATGGTAGTGAGGTGTTGCATAAAGAAATCAACGGAAATAATTAGATAAAAGCAAATACGTAAGAATAGAGGTGGGAATAGTTTTGTGGAAAATAGGTTTTAATGAATGTTATGTAGACCTAAATTGTGTTAGACATGGTCAAACATGTCTGAAAGTTGCATGTAGCAGAAGAAAAATGTCTCATGATACTTCTACAATTGATGTTTTTAGTTCGAAAAAACTAGGAATTTTACAAATATTTTAAATTTGATTTAAGATGGCTATGGTGATTCAGAGATCTGACATGTTAAGGAAATTCTGAACATTAGAAGGAAGTGCGTTGGGGAATACACAAAAATATTTATTGGCTAAAAAAACTGGGTGTTTAATGATTCTCTGAGGAGAAGAATCTATCCTTGCTGAAAAGACTCCGGCAATAAGTGTGCAGCTTCTTTCATAAAGATTACTCACAGACAGTTTAGCTCCTCTCGCGTTTGGATAAATCACACTATAGCATATTAACAAGTTGTTCTTCCAGTGGACATAAGTTGCTTCCAATCTCAAGTGATCGATTCAGATGGAAAATTATGGAAATGTTTGTGTCATGCTCAATTAGAACACCCTGCTTGATGACCAGGGAGGCCTCCGGGGCGCCATTTGTCAGAAGCTACATCACTTCCTGTCTTAGATGACATGGAAATCGTGAACATAAGTATGATTTTGTTGCAGAAATGTGTATATAAGTTCCCTCTACCATTCCAGGGTAGTATTCCCTGCTGACTTTTAGGCTGGTTCTGTTCGATGTTAAGCCATTAAAATATGGGTTAGGTTAATTTGACAGCAGTTCTGCGAGTTCATGAGAGGGTATGTTTTGTCAGTGGTTGAGCTGACTGTTTTATACTCGACTGGGGAATAAACCGGCAATCTGTGACTGCAGGGTCGTTATTAGAGACCAAGAGCCTATCAAGCCATGGACAACTGTATTAGGGAGGCATGATGTCACTTCTCTGACAAGGGCTTTTAGGCCTGTTGCTTGGCTGAATGGAAAAAAACAATGTTATTCACCAAGGCGTGAAAGCGAACGTGAGTTAAGGTTTATTGGAATGGGATAGAGGCATCCTTTTAATGAAACACCGTGATGGTACGATCTTAGCAATATGAATTTCTCCGAGTGCTCCCTCTAGAGAATGGATGACCTGGGGGCAAACGCTTGTGCAATATAATTTCGCCATGCATAGATCAACCGAAACAGGACTTGATATCTGTAGAGAAGTGGCAGGGATACTAGCTAAATCTGTGACTGTGGCCATCGCTAATTGGATGTTCTTGAAGCTGGACTCATCAGGGTGGGTAGCTCGCCAGCCACATTGATAAATTGAGTGGCCCGAAATAGTGAAATATTGGAGTGGTATTCCAAAGCTTGATCCCTGACTTGCACGCCTGTGCTCCCCAATTCCACATCAATATTCTCATATCGGCTCGTTGCATAGTTTGACAGCTCTCAATGGTATCTCCGTCTTCATCTGATTGCATTCTTTGTGTTGAGGAGCTGGATGCAGCTTGGTGAATAATATTCCACTATTTCACCCGCCTTTTTAATCAGGGTTACAAAAAATTACATGTTAGCATTGAAAGTCAGTATAATTAGCAGAGGGGTGGCAAGTGATCATGGCATCGCTGCTAGTAACAAACATGTCTTCTCGTGTTGCAGTTTATATCAACCATCGTCACGGAGACCTGTTGCCTTCTCACCTAGTGCTGAAATGGGATTAACAGACATCGAGATGTCACACAATTTGGACTTTGACGATCCCTACTTTGATGACCGGCCATACGAAATGGAATACGAGGTTTGTACACACTTTCCACCATCTCCCATCATCCCTTTGATTAAAATTTCATGATTCACGGACGAGGACGTGATTCATGGAAGGGCCGGGTTTGATGAAGCTTTGGCTGGATTTGTCCCCAGCATGATGGAAGTAGAACCCTCCACTCCTTCACTCACAGCCATAACAACTGCTGAAAGAGCCATGGTTCAATCAGAGATTCCACAAGCCTTTCTTGATCCCCCTTAGAAATCCAATACATTATTAATAGAGAATGCCCATGATTAGGACAGCTTTCATTTCCATCCCAGCCCATCCGAAACCCCGATGACGAGGATCAGACTTAGGATACAAGATGTTTGATCAACTGGTGGAAAAAATGGCCGATAGGATCATGTTATCCCAGCGCTGGTGGAATGTTTGATAACCGCACGTCTTGGCTAACGCGAGAGGGGTTGATACAATGGTTAGACAGCTCATCAGCAGCTGATTACTCTTCAGCTGGTATATGATCTCAGAGTAAAAGAATGTTATGTATATTGATCATTTAATCGTCGGATCAAAGATTCAATATTGAATGTCGTTACATTTTGATTTTTGGGGGTCCACATAATACACCACCAATACAGGTAGATACATTTTTGTGATTAGGGAGATACAGATTAGTATTTCAGAAATTCAGTTATTTATCTAAACTATCACTCTTGTCTCACAAAACAAATTGCCTCTGTGGGAAACGTCAAAACAAATTATCACAAATTATTGTGTTTTACATTCAGTGAATGTATGACAAATATTTTCTGTTGCTTCTTAACTGACTTCAACCATTTTCTCTGTATTATGTTCCATTTCTTTATTGCAACAGACAAGTTGATAGAGCAATTACAGGAACCATTTGGTGGAGATTTATTGCCAGTCAGGAACCATTGTTGACAAAATACAATAAGCTGGTGGACATTATCGAACACAGGAATGTTGTCTGGGGCTCTGAGCACTGATTCAGGACATCACACTAATTGTAATTACAGGGAAGCTGGGCCACAACCAACTCTATTCTACTAGGTGACAAATGTTAATGATGCCTCTCCAAATAAGCACCTCACTAAACAAACATTTTAACAAGGGTAGCAGGAGGCAGTGTGTAATCATGTGGACAGTGAAGGGTTAATGGACGCTCGGAGTGTCCACGTGGAGGGATGGTCAGCTGGATCAATTTGTACAGTTAACTTGGCTCTCACTATCACACAGTTAGGAACATCATGATGTAATGGCAGTTGAGTCCAGAACTATAACTGTCACCTTTCAAATAATATTATTTTGTTATTATTTGCATATTTATGATAATTAATGCACAATCAAAGCATATTCAGAGTGGTACACTGTTACTCTGGTCAGTGGATCAGTGTGCGCTCAGTTGTCATTCTCAGCTCCTTGAGCAGTATACGACCCAAGCTGTGTGTGGCACTATAAGGTTAACAGTGACATCCCATCCTTCCGGGTACCCAGTCACTGCTGAGTGAAAGGTATTTTTCAAACAAAGTTACTTGTCTTAGCAGCAAAAATAGAAACTGTTTCTCAAACCTCCATGTCATTGTGATTCCCTCTGATCAATTTTCCTTATTTGCAATAAAAAAGTAATTTTCAGATTTCTTGTCATATTTAGCATACTCCCTTTCTGTAAAATGACATACTTGACAAGATACAAATTCAGTCTGTGACCAGTTTCTTTGCATTTTTAAGAAGGAAGTATTCCATACACACCGTATTTGGTATCAAGAAACAAAAGTCTACCTCTCTCCTCACTGTTAAGAAAAATGTGCCAGAGAATTTATTTTTTTTAAATTCAGCCTTATAGTGGCATTTCATATATTGGTAAGGACAAATATTATCTCTGTGTTTCCTGATTAATATCAAGTCTGTAACATCTTTTAGCTGGATTTATGTGCCAACAAGTAGTACATTGTCATGGCATTAGTCTGCAGGTAAATGGGCCCTTTAGGACTGAGAAAATCAACAATTGTCAAATTGGGATGATCGTTTGTATTGTCAATACATTTCTTTGAAAATTCAGCTCCAGTTAAGGTCAAGTTTTATTTAAGTGATTATATAATTTCCCAAACCAGCTTTTCTCTCACATATTGGTCATACAACTAGGCTTGATGTTGTTGACTTCATTAGATATATCCTGAATTTCCCATACAGTAATACTTGTTCAAAATGGGCCATTATCATAAACCTATACTCTCTAACAAATATAGTTATAGCCCATATATCTGAAATATTGCTGAGTGTGGCTTTAAACAACAAACAATATATAGTTATCAGAAGCTACAAATATTGAAATGGGTTAATAATAAGATTATTTTTCTTTGGGGATTGTCATTAATTGGTCGCTCTGGTCATCAAGAACCCATTTATCAGTGGACTCCAGATTAGACAGTGATGAAGCTTTGCCTGGGGTTCCTGCTTACCATTACATCACAGTACGGTATGGGGTCTATTAGTGCATAGATCTGGTGCTGCCCCCTGGTGAGTGCAGAACTAGAGAGTTACACAACAATATACACCAATCAGGTCTGCCAGGTCGCCCCTTGCTGCTTGAACCCTTCTATCTTACCCTGTACAAGTGACCGATCAGAGCATCCTGGAGAAGATTGTTAAGGTTTGATGTTGTTAAACTTCAAGAATGATGGACACTGGAGATGAAGCTGGTGTTTGTGGGGAGACTTGATCAGCTGTGATCAAGCTGAAGGTCCTCAAGCCTTACCGTGACACTAATCCCTAAACACCAGAAATTTATGACCCTTGGGCCACTGTCCTCCCTCCCAGGATCATACCTCTTCGTCTTGTACCCTCTTCCCACGAGAGACTTGGATTAAAAACACTCAATCGTTTGTCCTGTAAAATCTAATCATAATCATAATCATGATCATAATCCCCACCCCATCCTGTCCTGTCTATGCCTTCATTTAGTATTAATCCATCTAGCCTTTCTTTGCTTAGCCACACAACTTCAACCTTTCTGCAACATTGTTCCACATATTCCCTGATCCACCCAGCTTTCATTTATTTGCCAACCTTCTACCTTTCACATCCATATTCCACTTATTCTTTTATTCATCCATTCTTCCTTTCTGCACCTCATACCCCACCTTTAATCCTTTTCGTCCTTGTCTTTCTTTTCCCCACAGCCCCACCCCTCTGTAACCCCATTACCTACCGTATTCCTCCCTCCTCCCCTTTCTTCTTCCTTCTTTTCTTCCCCTTCCTCCTCTCCCGACCATCTTGTTCCCTCCCCCATTTCCCCATTACCTACCATATTCCTCCCTCCTCCCTTTCTTCTTCCTTCTTTCTTTTCCCCTTCTTTTCCTTCTTCCTACCTTCTTTTCTTCCCCTTCCTCCTCTCCCCCCACCATCTTGTTCCTCTCCCCATTTCCCCATTACCTACCATATTCCTCCTTCCTCCCTTTCTTCTTCCTTCTTTTCTTCCCCTTCCTCCTCCCATCCCATCTTGTTAACGTAGTCATTACCATCCCCCCTTCCTTCTTCCTTTCTCTTGTCCCCACCATCTTGTCCCTCCCCCGCCCCCAGCCCTGTTCATAAGGTAGCTGGCGCACCCCTTGCCCTGTAATACATGTCTTACATAACCCATCTACTGATGTTTACACTGTCCAAGGTGAAAAGTCCCTGCCTCAGAGGGGGTGGGACATTTGGCATGTAAACTGAGAAATATCTTGCAGCTCTGTCTGTTTGAAGTTTAATTGTAGTGATTATGCTAAATATAGCCACACAATCAATCTTCTGTTGGTTATTCTTTGAAATACAAGGAATGGAACACCTGGTGATAGCTAATTCTAGCACCCTTCTGACACCGAGGTCATGAAGAAACATGGTGATGTACGCAGTAAAAATGTTAACACTGTTTACACCTTGAATGTGACATTCTCGCACAAATTGAACTCGATTTTCACATGAACACAATGTTTTCTTTGATACAACGTACACTTTACTGAAGAAGGTGGGCTCAGTTATATAACAGCCTGCAGTCAGCAATGCAGAGTTGTGTCCCTTGAACACTCCAGAATCCTGTGATCATGGGTTTGAGTCCAGTTTATGTTTCTAGATTTGACAGCACTACAACAATACATGTGGGTGTGATGAAACTGGCAAACATGTGAGACCAGTATCTCTTCCAGCTTACCACAAATATTAAGCTTAAATAATATGACTTGAATATTGAATACTGTTCAAAGTGGCATTAAGCGCAGCTGGCTCGCTCGCTCACTCACTCACTCACTCACTCACTCACTCACTCACTCGGGGCGGTGGGGTAGCCTAGTGGTTAAAGCGTTGGCTCGTCACGCCGAAGACCAGGGTTCAAATCCCCACATGGGTACAATGTGTGAAGCCCATTTCTGGTGTCCCCCACCGTGATGTTGCTGGAATATTGCTAAAAGTGGCTTAAAACCAAACTCACTCACTCACTCACTCGCTCTTTCATTTTCTTCACTGATCAGTTGCATCAATTAATCCTCTCCATTTATCAGCAGTATTGAAACACCCAGTCTGACATGAACCCAGAGTCCAAGCGTTAGCTGAACCAGTTGCTAGGATTCCTGTCTCCCTCAACTCCCAGTGATACCGAGCTAATAAAACTCAATAAGCTACATCCATATAACTGGTGATTACTTAACTGGAAACAGTTTTTTGAATCAATGTAGAAAATTAGTGGGAAGTATTTCATCAGTGTTGCTATGAGCAGGGCAACAGTTTCTGTGACATGGAAGAAGAACGCTTCTGGCTGTTCCAGCAACTGTTGTGTTATGGAATGAGTCTCTTGCTTCATTCAGCTAATGAGAGGAAAGTAAACAGTCGGTGGTCGGTCACAAACACAGATGCATTGTTCTCTAAATAAACTAGATCCCTTCATCCATTGAGATGCCAGATGTTATGAAAACAATGCTCCCTCAACATTATCTGACATGTTTTTTTATTAGATAAGGCTATTTGACTTCAGTGCGATAT